GCTTCATCCCCCAACCTCCAGGAGTTTCCCAACCTGGATCTGGCAACCCTGTGAATCCCCCCATCCCCTGTCAGTGGCCAGAAGGGACCTAGCAATGCTCATCCAGGCCCTTTCAAAGAGGCTTAATGTGTGCAACTGGGCAGGTGATGCTTCTCATGGGATGGATTCATAATATCCCATTAATCATCTATTCAAGGGACATGACATTTTTGTCCAGGTCAGCTGGTAACCCTAGATCAGGCACCCCCAGCCTTGTTGAGCCTGTGGGAACTTTGGAACTCTGACACAGCGAGGTGGGCCCCATCACAAAATGGCTGCCGGATAATAGCCGCTGCAGGAAACGAAGCCAGCCACAAAAGGGATCTCACAGCTTACCTCCAGCCACACAGTGAGGAGTCTTGTGCTGCGGTGGCAATTGCTGCCAAATCGATGTTTGTAAACATCTGCACAGCCAGTCATCAGTGGCCAATCAGAAGCCTTGTTGGCCGGACGTTGTAGCTGGCCCTGCCTACTTCCTAAAAACACTTGACAGGCACCAGGAAAGTTGCTGGCAAGCACCGTGGCACCCACGGGCACCACGCTGGCAACCCCTGTGCTAGCATGGTATGAAGGTGGGGGCGGCCTTCTCTGGCTTTTCCCTGGTGTTAGCATAGGGGCTAAGGGGATGAGCTGTGATCCAGGAGGTCCCTGATTCAAATCTTTCCTCTGCTCCCCAAACCATTAAGTGCTCTTAGGCAGGCAGCTCTATCTAAGCCTCTGCCCCTTCTCCTATCTGCAGTAAAGCTTTAATAAGACAGGCCTACAGAACTTGGTTTAAGGACCATAGCAAGATAGTGTATGTCAAGTGCTTTATGATGTAATCCTTTGCAATTTACTCCAGCCTAAACCTGTTGAAATCTAGGGGTTTAGGCTGGAGTTACTCTGCATAGGATTGCACTGGAAATCACTGGGACTGCTACATAGAAGTAGACTCTACCTTTAACTTGCCCAAAATTCCTGGTGGGCTGTTGGCATGGAGGCCCACTGAACCACATAGCCCCTGTAGTGCAGGCTGAGCCTCGGGGGCTGCTCAATCTGAATCCGGCCGGCAGTAATGATGACAGTGGGTATAGATGTGCTGATGGACGAGTCCAACACCCTTTGCTGTTGTTGCTGTAGCCCTTGCAGGGGCCACTTGGCTCAACTTGCTCCAGGTTCAGCATCCCAGTCTGCCCCTGCTGCTCTATAGAAGCTCAGTGGCAGGAGTATATTCTGGTGTGCTGCCTCTCTACAGGGAGGTTCCCTGTAATTATTAAGGCGAATAGCCATTGATAGATAGGGTTGCCAACCTCCAGGTGTTGGCTGGTGATCTTCTGCTCTTACAACTGATCTCCAGGTGACAAAGATCAGTTCACCTGGAGAACATGGCTGCTTTGGAACTGGTCTTTTGGACCACAGCTTCGTCGCCAAGAAGAAGAGATTGGATTTATACCTTGCCCTTCACTTGGAGTCTCAGAGCGGCTTACAAACTCCTTTCCCTTCCCCTCCCCACAACAGACACCCTGTGAGGTGGGTGGGGCTGAGAGAACTCTGACACAAACTGCTCTTTTATTAAATCTCTTTTTTATTTATTTATTTTCCATAACAATTCATACATAAACATACAAAAATCACATGAACATTCACTTGACATTCCTACAGAGAAACCCCCAGTCTTTTTCAAGGACAGCTGTGCCAGAGCTTGTGACTGACCCAAGGTCACATCAGCAGGTGCAAGTGGAGGAGTGGGGAATCAAACCCGGTTCTCCCAGATTAGAGTCCGCACACTTAACCACTACACCAAACTGGCTCTCTTACCTCCACTGTCTTTCTGAGGTGATGTCTGAAGGAATTAGGGAATTACACACACGTTCTATGGGCATTGTGCCCCACTGAAGTCCCTCCCCTCCCCAAACCCTGCTCTCCTCATGCTCCAACCTCCCCCCCCATCTCCAGGTATTTCCCAACCCAGAGCTGGCAATCCTACTAATAGAGCTATGATTTATGATCTTGTCCTGTTCTTTTTTTAAAAAAAGCCATTGTAGTTATTCTCACCTGGAAGTCATTTTGACCTCTGACTGACTGACCCCTATTGGGGGGCCTGGAGGATATTCAGCGAGGTGGCTGAAAACCTGCCTCTGTCCTCCCAGCTTGGTGTTCCAAGTACTAACCACAGTTGACCCTGCTCAGCTTCCAAGATCTATCCAGGTCAGGGAGTAGCTATTCTCTACCACCACATCATGTGACAGTGAATTTCCTCACTGGACATTCGGCTAATTAACTATACAGTCATTTCTTGTCTTGAAACGACAAGTGTTTGGCCGCTCCTTTCTTTTCTTACTCCCGTTCCGTTGAAGTCATTGGCCTTAGAAGGGAAAAACTCTGCATAGGATTGGGCTATAAGGGTTTATCTAAACAATACAACTGAAACAATACAACTGCCTCTTCCTTGGGTGCCACGTGACCTCAGTCACATGATGCAGGGCATGTGGAGCCCAAGGAAAGGGCAAACACCCCCCCAAACACACACCCCAATGGCTGTTTCCCCGACAAAAATGGTGGGGTGGGGAAGAGAAGCCTGAAGCCCTTCCTTCACTCTCACAGAGCTTGGAGCTACACTGAGCAAAAGAGTGCTTTGAAAAGTTGAGCATCTGTACGCATGCATGGCTGGTAATTGTGACCCCCCCAGACACACACATACAACTCATGTCAGCTGTCTAATTTTACCATGGTTAGAGACCCTTTTCTGCTAAATTTAGTTATGGGTTGTCCCATACTGTCCATTTCTTCCATTTGATCTCCTGTGTAGAAAAAAAAACCCCTTCGACTTGCAGAGGGTACTCAGTTTTGTGGAAGAGTTCTAGATTCAAGCCCACATTGTGGCATCAAGCACCAACCCTCCACACACCTAGGGTTGCCAACCTCCAGGTGGGGCCTGGAGTTGTCCTGGCATTACAGCTTATCTCCAGCCTCCAGGGCTCAGTTCACCTGGAGGAAATGGTGGCTTCAAAGGGTGGAGTCTGTGGTATACCATAGATTCTTGATGAAATCCCTCCCCAGATTGTCCCCCCCTACAGGTACTGCCCCCAAATCTTCAGGAATTTCCCAAGCCAGAGCTGGCATCCCTACTCAACACACATTACCTTGATACTTTGGTAAGAACCCTGTGCCCATAGGTAGGTAAAAGGTAAAGGTTCCCTTGCTCGAAAGCCAGTCGAATCCGACTCTAGGGTTGCAGTGCTCATCTCCGTTTCAAAGCCGAAGACGTTTCCATGGTCATGTGGCCGGCATGACTAAACACCAAGGCGCACGGAACGCTTGGTAGGCATAGGTAGACATCACGTAAAAAAGTATACCAGAAAAATGGGGTGAACTGAACACACAGTACCAACTCACCCATATACAGAAGTCTGCCTGTAAGCACATTGCTAGGGGGGGGGGGGAGAGATGAAGGTCAGTCATGCTAAGGGGGCTGGCCCAACAATGTAACCATGATCCCCCCCCCAGTGTAAAGAAGAATCTCAGCACTGGCCTTTTAATAACCATGTATGGGGACATATTGGCTTGTTGAAAATCTTCTATTCACTTCAATAGGACTTGGCACAGGTGAAATTTTGTGTAGAATGGGTCTTTTGGACCACAGCTTCATCTCCAAGAATGTACCCCTATCTTTCAGAGGCAATGTCTGAAGGAATTAGGGCATTATATACACATACACAATCACACAAACACACACATGTGTGTGTGCGCGCACACAAAGAGAGAGGGGGGTCAGACATGTAATGGTTTGCTGCTGCTGCCCTCTAGTGGCAAGCTGTGGTAGATTTCAAGGGAAACAGGATGTGATGGAAGTCCAATCGCTTTTTAACCTCCTGGCATATGAATGAAGTTGTCAGAGGCTCCCTGCACTGTTAACAAGTGCAGAAGAAGTAAAAAAATAAAGCACATAACCAACACATGAAAACTTTTTTCAGATAAATGTAAGTTGTTGAAATGCTACTGTTACGTGTTATTATCACCTGCCATGGAGGCTGAGGTTGCTTCCATGTGCAGGTTTTGATCCAGTCCAGCATCCAAACTAAAGTCTTTTTTCTTTTGGGGGGCATCCATACAACAACATCCTCTAATCGCAGACTTTTCTGGTTTCCCTCTGCTTTACTCTAAATTTTCCCACAATCTGTTTTTAAAGATCGCATTCCAAGCATGGTTACACACCACGTGGATGGTGGGAAGGAAAGTGTGCGGTTTTTAAAGGTCCTGCTCACATCAGAGCAATTTTCCTTCTCCTGTCCTGAGCCATCACTTCTCCTCTCCACACCACTGGATAGCTGGATTGCTATAACTGCTAGATGGGTATAGCACAATAGCTGGGCTTTTAATGCAGTGCTTTCATTCACAACTTTTAATGATTTTGTGTTTTTATTCTTTTTAAAACAGTTTTAGAGAGATGGCATAAACATTTTCTAAGTAAATATCTGTTGCCATCATATGTAAGTCTCCATCCATTTTTGTTGCAGAGGAGCACCTTTCTCCTTCTCTCTCTGCAACATGTCTGTGTTATATAAATCAAATAAACAAACAGAAAGGACTAGAATTTTACTTTTTTTAAAAAAAACAAAAGCTGTGAATTCAGAGGAATTAATATATCATGACCATCATTATAATGTTATAATGCTATAGTACAATAGTAATCATTAGTTTTTTTAAAAGGCTTTTTAAAAAGTGCTCTGGTGATGCAGGTGACTTGGGAGGGTGCACAGGAAGCTCCTTTGTCAGTGCAAATGCCTCTACATTTTCAGCATTTATTGCAGGGGAATGGGGACTCCTCCTCACTAGTTGAATGCAGCCTGAGTGAGGGGTAAAATTTGATGTTGTGCAGCTAGATGTGGTCATGTACATCACAACTAGCATCATTCCTACCAGGAAATGTCAACAGTAAATTGAAGTAAGAAGCTCATTCCTGTTTCTTTTCTGCTCTCTAGTGCCATGGTTCCCAAGGACTATTCAAGAGCTGGACAGATTTGCCAACCAGATCCTCAGCTATGGAGCAGAGCTGGATGCTGATCACCCAGTAAGGAAAACAACAACAACAGATTAACAGCAATATTTTTAATGACTTGGAACTTCCCAGCATGTATATCTTACATTTCTGGTCCTCATTGACACAGAGAACAATCTGAAAATTTATCAGCTGGTGACAAAGGTCCTGCAACCCAAGATCTTCTAAATGGCCTCATGCGTCATGAAAGGAATGCCAACCACTGGGGTTTGGGAGTTCAGAATTACAATTTATCTCCCAACTACAGAGACCAGTTCCCCTGGAAAAAAATGGCACCTTCAGAGGGTAGACTCTATGATATACCATAGAATCTAGGTGAAATCTTTCCCCAAATTCTCCCCTTCACAGTCATCGCCAAATCTCTGGGAATTTCCCAGCCAAGAGTTGGAAACCCTATTTCGTGGAGGGTATGAGCCATATAGCTATATCCCTGGCTAGCCTGATCTCATCAGGTCTTGGAAGCTAAGCAGGGGCAGACCTGGTCAGTATTTGGATGGCAGACCACCAAGGAAGTCCAGGGTCATGACGCAGGTGCAGGCAATGGCAAACCACCTCTGAAATGTCTCTTGCCTGCAAAGCCCTATGGGATTGGCATAAGCCATCTGAGACTTGGCAGCACTTTTCACCACCACCACCACGGGACATATGTTAGAGATGGTGACTGTTAGATCGCACTAACAAAAGACTCTTAGAGTGATTCAGCAAGTGATTCAGCTTTATTGGAAGTAACGAACAGGCACTCAACTCAGTAAGAAACCAGAACAGAAAACAGTGGGAGCTTATGCTCCTTTTAAACATAACCGGGCTAATGTAGCCACGCCTATTTACAATTAACAACCAATGAGATTGCTTAGTTAAGGACCAATGGGAGTCTTTCCCTCCTAGGGAATGGTATCGTTCTGATTGGTCGCTGTTACGAAGCGACCAATAGGAAGTTCGCTCAGAGGAGCCCTGGTCTGGCTCGAAGCTTAACATAGGAGTCCTATGAGGTGATTCATGTAATCGTTTCAATACATTACAATTCCTCCCCCCTAAGTTAAGTCATCATCCCTTTGTTTTATTATTTACATACATTCAAGTCATGCTGTTGTACATCAACTGTTCCAAAATACTTTATTACAATCGTAGATATAACCCCAGGAAGCCATAAGTGCCCGTTTGCATAATTTCGTGCGAAAACCTTGTCCCCTTTTTCAAACATGCGCACCTTCGGTTGCGCCGTGGTACGCTCGGATTGCTCTTCAGTGAGGTCTGGGTGCATTCGGTTCAAACGGGTCGTGAGTCTCCGCCCCATTAACAATTCGGCCGGACTACGGCCTGTAGCACTACAGGGGGTGGTGTGCTGCAGCAAAAGAAAGGAGCCCAGCCTCTGGCTCCAGTCCCCTTCGTCCATTTTACCCAGGGCCTCTTTGGCCGTCCTGACCATCCGTTCGGCTTGGCCATTAGATGCCGGATGGAAAGGGGCCGAAGTCATTTGGCGTATGCCATTACTCGTGAGGAAGAGCCTAAATTCCTCAGACACAAATTGAGGCCCGTTGTCACTGACGATGACGTCAGGCAACCCGTGGGTGGCAAAAAGTCGGCGGAGCGCATGGATCACAGCAAGTGATGTGGTCGATTTCATATGCACGACCTCCAGCCATTTGGACATAGCGTCCACCACAATTAGGAACATTTGCCCTTGGAGAGGGCCAGCAAAATCTATATGCAATCTGGCCCAGGGTTTACCAGATGACTCCCAGCCTTGGGGTGTAGCTTGTGGGGGATCGGGTCTGACTTGCTGGCATTTGGGACACCCTCGTACCCATTCTTCGATCTCTTTGTCCAGCCCCGGCCACCAGACATACCCTCTGGCCAACGCTTTGGTGTGTACCATACCGGGGTGACCCTCGTGCAGCGACTCTAACACTCTCGTCCTGAGTTTGTCAGGAACCACCACCCTGTTCCCCCATAATACACAGCCCTTAGAAATGGATAGTTCATTTTGACGGCTTTTGTAAGGGCCGAACTCCGGTTCAACGCTTCCAACCGGCCACCCCCTCCAAACCCAGTTTAATACTCGGGACAGCACGCTATCCTTGGCCGTGTGTGCTGCAATGTCCCTGGATGATACCGGGGGTCGAGGAAGCTCCTCAATTGCCAAGACCTCACAGGCGGGGGCAGGGTCTGCGCCAATGTCCGGCACCGGGCACCGGCTGAGGGCATCCGCATGCCCAATCGCTTTCCCAGGCCGGTGCTCTAAGTCAAAATCATAAGCCTGCAAAAATATCGCCCATCTAAGCATGCGTGGGGACATGATGTTTGGCAATTGCTTATCGGGCGCAAAAATCCCCAGTAGCGGCTTGTGGTCAGTGACCAGCAAAAATCGTCTGCCAAAAATAAAATCATGGAACTTTTTGACAGCCGCTACCAACGCCAGACCCTCCTTGTCTATCTGGGCATAGTTCCGCTCTGCCGCAGATAGTGATCTAGAATAAAAAGCGATAGGCGCTTCGCTCCCATCAGGCATCAGATGGCTTAAAACTGCGCCTACTCCAAAAGGTGAAGCGTCAGCAGCTAACACCAGGAGCTTGTGTTCATCATAATGCGTGAGTACGGCATTAGATGTCAGCAGCTCCTTGACTCCCACAAAAGCCTTTTCCTCGGCCTGCCCCCACTTCCATTTTGCCTCCTTGTGCAAAAGCGCGTGCAAAGGGGCCGCCACTGATGCCTTATGCGGTAAAAACGCATGATAAAAATTCAGGAGTCCTAAAAAGGATTGGAGCTCCTTCTTACTCACCGGCCTGGGGGCGTTTTGGATTGCAGATACCTTCTCATCCGTGGGGTGGACTCCCTCTGCGTCAATGCGAAACCCCAGGAAGTCCACACTTTCCACCCCGAGCGTGCATTTTGAGCGCTTAACTCTGAGACCGGCATTTTGAAAACGCCTGAGGACCTCTTTAACCCGGTCCAGTAGTTCCTGTTCAGACCCGCCCGCAATCAGCACGTCGTCAAAATAGGGCACTGTGCCAGGTACCCCCCTTAGTAGACGTTCCATGAGGCCCTGAAAAATCCCAGGTGCTACGTTGACCCCGAATTGCAGCCTGTTCACTTTAAAAGCCCCTTGGTGGGTTACAATTGTTTGGGCCTCGGCAGCCTCCGGGGTGACAGGCAACTGCTGGTATGCCTGGGCCAGGTCAAATTTGGCGAAAATCTTGCCACCCCCCAGGGAAGCCAAAATGTGGCTTATTACCGGGACCGGGTACGAATGTTGCTGCAGCGCCTTGTTAATCGTACATTTGTAATCGGCGCATAGTCGTATGGACCCATCTGATTTGACAGGGGTTACGATCGGGGTCTCCCATTTGCTGTATGGTACTGGCTCTAAAACCCCTTGCTCAACTAGTTTGTCAATCTCTTTTTCCACCTTATGTTTGAGAGACACAGGTACTTTCCGATACTTCAACCTAATAGGTTTGACTGACGGATCTAAGTCAAACGCAACCGGGGGGCCCTTGTACCTCCCCAACCCTTCGGCAAATACATCAGGGAACAGGTCGTACAGCATGCCCCATTTATTTTCAGACATCCTGTTAATCCCAGAAATACCAATGCCCAATGGCTCAAACCAATCTAACCCTAGCAGGTTAACCCGGTCTCCCTCTGCAATCAGGAATGACAGTTTAACACATTTCCCCTTATACTCAACAGTAACAGAGTCCCGTCCGGCCAAGGGAATTCGGTTGCCCTGGAAGTCGGACACTCTGGTTCCCGCAGGCTGGAGCCGCCGCCGGCTTCGGTTCGGGAACAACTGGCGCCAGGACGCGGCAGAAATCACCGTCACGGACGATCCTGAGTCCACCTCCATTGTACAGGGTCGGCCGTCGAGGAGTGGAGTCACGGTGATCTTGCCCTGGCTGCTGGTGCGATTTACGGCCGATGCGCTCGACAAGGTCGCCGTCAACTGGCAGCTTGCTTCCGATGCTGAGGAACGGGTCTTGCCTTGGGTGCTGACTGGAGTGCCCCTCTGCGCTGACCGGTTGTTAGTTGAGGGATCCTTCTTTGCTGATCTGCAGACTCTGGCCAGATGACCACGCCGCCCACACGCTCTGCAGTCGACATCACGAGCCCAACAGGAGTCGCGCTGGTGTTTCCCGCCACAACCGGAGCAAGGCTTGACGTTGGTAGTCTTCGCTGGGGTCCGCTTGCCTCGAACCGCGTTGACGTCATCATCCGCGTCTTCGCCCTCGCTGTCTCGTTGAGCGTGTATACTGGGCTCTGCCACCCGCTGGCGGACCTCCTTCGTGGACTTCTCCGCTGCTTCCGCGGCCACGGCCTCTTCGTAGGCCACTGCCCAGGTCAGGGTGGTGCGGGCGAACAGCCTCTGTTGCAGCCTTTCATCTTTGAGACCGCAGACGAGACGGTCTCTGAGGGCTTCCTCCACGTTGTGGAAATTACATGGCCGTGCGGCTTTGCGAAGGGCCGCCACGAAATCTGCGATGGTCTCGCCTCCGGCCTGGTTCCGCTTGTAAAAAGCGTGCCGGCAGGCGATCTCCGACGGTTGTGGAGAATAGTGAGCCTTACGCTTCTCCGTGATGTCAGCGTAGGTGACAGTCTTTATATCAGTTGGGGCCACCAACGACCTGGCTATGTCGAAGGTCCCCTTCCCGCAGGAACTCAGGAGGCACGCCCGTTTCTTGGCCTCGTCTGTAATGTCGTGTGTCTCCAGATGGAACTCGAACCTGGATAGGTAGGAGTCCCAGTCTTCTGAGGAGGGTTCGAAGCACTCGAACTTCTGGCTTCCAGCCATCGTGGGAGACTTGGGCACCGGAGCTGGTGGCGCCTCCGCCGGATCGGCTGCTGTGCTCTGCTCGCTTTCTTCCGAGTCCGAAGTGTGGATGTCCGCAGGGCTGCCTACCTGCTCTAACATCCCACCTTCGTCGCCAATTGTTAGATCGCGCTAACAAAGGACTCTTAGAGTGATTCAGCAAGTGATTCAGCTTTATTGGAAGTAACGAGCAAGCACTAACTCAGTAAGAAACCAGAACAGAAAACAGTGGGAGCTTATGCTCCTTTTAAACATAACCGGGCTAATGTAGCCACGCCTATTTACAATTAACAACCAATGAGATTGCTTAGTTAAGGACCAATGGGAGTCTTTCCCTCCTAGGGAATGGTATCGTTCTGATTGGTCGCTGTTACGAAGCGACCAATAGGAAGTTCGCTCAGAGGAGCCCTGGTCTGGCTCGAAGCTTAACATAGGAGTCCTATGAGGTGATTCATGTAATCGTTTCAATACATTACAGTGACTAGGAAGTTACAAGAGATAATATGGGAATGTTTTTATAACCTGAGAATAAAATAATTTCATTCCCCTCTTGCATTCTGAATTCTCGCAGTCTCAAAGAATCATAGAATCATAGAATGTTAGAGTTGGAAGGGACCTTGCAGGTCATCTAGTCCAACCCCCTGCCCTCTGCAGGAGCATAGCTGAAAGACAGCCTTACATACCTACGACATACCTGAAAGATGGTCGTCCAGCCTCCGCTTGAAAACGTCCAGCGAAGGAGCATCCACCACCTCCCGAGGCAGACTGTTCCACTGCTCAACCACTCTTACAGTTAGGAAGTTTCTCCTGATATTTAGCCGGTAACGACTCCCTTGTAATTTCCACCCATTAGATCTAGTCTTGCGATCCGGAGCAAGAGAGAATAGATCTGCTCCATCTTCTACATGACAGCCCTTCAAACACTTGAAGACTGCAATCATGCCCCCTCTAAGCCTTCTCTTTCCCAGGCTAAACATACCCAACTCTTTCAGCCTTTCCTCATAAGACTTGGATTCCAACCCTCTCACCATCCTGGCTGCCCTCTTCTGGACACGCTCGAGCTTGTCAACATCCTTCCTAAAATGTGGTGCCCAAAACTGGACACAGTACTCCAGGTGGGGCCTGACCATAGCAGAATAGAGTGGAACTACCACCTCCCTTGATCTGGACACAATGCTTCTGTTAATGCATCCTAAGATTGCATTAGCTTTCTTCACAGCCACATCGCACTGCAGGCTCATGTTTAGCATAAGCACAGCTTATGAAGCAAAAAGTCTTTTGAGGCCCTTAAAGGGCCTGACATCTACCTTTATAGATGCAGTCAGGGGGTGGTTGTTTTTCTTTTTTAAAAGAGGTGCTGGAACTTTCAAGAGGGAAATGAAGTTTTCAATCTGTGTACTGAAAATTCATGAGCTTTTAAACATTTTTGAATGAATTTTGTTGAAGAGGTTCCGGCGCGTTCCCCCAGAAAAAAAGCCCTGGATGCAGTTATTGGGCAGATGAAGTTTTGTACATATGAGCATGTTGGCTCCATGAGTACACAGGGACTGACAGCAAAGCTTCCTCTCAGCAAATTAGCATTTTATTTTTACATTAGAAGATTCACTCCAGCCAGAAATTATGGCTATTAATTTAACCAATGCTGGGAGCTTGTAAATAAATCCCATGTGGCGTGGCACAAAATTGCTGCTATTACACTAATTGAGGCAGTGATTAGCCCTTCAGTAGTTTCAGTTTAATCTTGAAAGCACCGTGTTTCCTGTGCTATTATTTGGCAGCATCCTGGAAGAAAGGAAAGGGTATGGGAGACCCAGTGGCTCTGGGTGAGAGAATGAAAGCACCCTCTGGATGTTTCTGTCAGGAAGTGGCTGGGCTTGAAAGCAGAAACTGCTCTCCAAAAAACCCCCTCAATACATGAAAATGAAAGATGCATCTTAGATTCAATTCCTAATTATATAATGATCCTTTTCCTGTTTTTTTTTAAAGGGGGGGAACCAAAGTGCAATTAGGCATAGTCTGTAATAGATGTTAAAAAACCTGTGGATTTGGAGCTTCCTCATTTTTTGGTGGATGGCAGGGTTGTGGAAGCTTTGGCTTCTGGGCTAGATCAAGACTCTTTCACCTTTGGTCACCTGCAATTTCCCTAACTCCTCTATTAATTGGGCTGAGGCACGGCCTGCTTTGACCTTAACCTCAAAAAACCAAACAAGGAAAATAGTACAGAATAGACTGGACTGCCTTCCCATGTCTAGAATCTAAGACCCTGGCTCACAGATGTTTTTCTGTCAGAAGCAGACCATTTTTTCTTGAAGCTGCTGAAACCTTTGGGTGTGCTGGTATCTTTTGTTTTTGAAGTAAGGTATTCTTTTAACCATGAGGACTAGAATCCTAGCTTGTATCCTCAAATTGCTTTGAAAATTAGGACAACCAAGTAGAGCAGGCTTCCCAGGTGCCCGTCCCAACCTCCTGTTTTCCACTGTTGCTCCAGCAGTGGGAGGAAGAAAAATGGACCACTGTTGGTTAATGGCATGACATCACTTCCAGGGAAACTTGGAAGTAATGTCGGTCGACTCTAGAAATGGCTGGGAGCTCTGTGGCCCTAAGGTGCTCCTCATGTACCTGCCTCCCCAGGCTCTCACCAGTTTCTAGGCTGTGCCTGGCAACCCTTAGGGACATTAGAGTCTACCTTCAGATGAACAGAGCTCTTTATTTAGGACTCAGATGTGATGTTGTCCCCAAGTCCACCATGGGGACACAACCACAATTTTAAAGATGAAATTACCTCTGTTTACAAATGCCATGGGGGACCTGTTGTGGATGGGACCATGGCATGAGGGGGGGACTCCTGTTTCCCTTGATGACATTCTCAAGATCCCAACTCCACAATGTTTGGCTATTGAAAATAGCAGGCAGGTGGGTTTAGAATGGTAGAGTCATGTTTAAAGCCACTTGTGATTATCCCTTATCCCTTAAAGCCATTTGCAATTATCCCTGTATCTCTAGTTATTCTTAGGTATATAAAGCAGCCAAAATGCCCTTTTAAGACATAGCAGCACCTTCGCGATTGCATATGGAGTACCTCTAGAAGCAAACCTTTGAGCCTTGTTGTAAGTCTTGCCCACTCTCATTCATACCTGACGTGGCAGGCCAGAGTGAGAAGGCCAAAGACAGCTTGAAATAGGTTACTTTTGTTCAGTCCTATTTGTGTTCTACATGGCTTTCTGCAAGTCCAAATCAATGTATTTTGTAATATTTTTCCAGGGCTTCAAAGATCCTGTTTACCGGGCCAGAAGAAAGGAATTTGCTGATATAGCCTACAACTATAGACAGTAAGTATGCAAAGATAACAAACAAGGCATGAAAAGTATTTAGAACTCAACATCTTCTACACCGTAAAGTTGTTGTGGTGGGGGGATTCATTATTGGGATAACGCAGACCAGGCGATCCCCAATGTTGTTGGCCCTGTGGAACTAAAGATTGGGCGCGTGGAAAAGCTGGCTCCCTAACTGCCCTGTGGGACGGGCGGGCAGGATATCCCCAATGTGACGTCATCACGTCGGGGGTGCCCCGCCCCCTTCGGGAACGCCCCCCCCCCAAAGTCCCCTGCTGGGGGGGAAGATAGGACTTGGCAACCCTAGGTGGGACTTTGACAATGGGGAGTGGGCACCTGCACAAAGTGGCTTCCATCGAGTTAGGGTTGCCAGCTCTGGGTTGGGAAACGACTAGAGATTTTGGGGGTGAAGCCTGAAGAGGGCAGGGTTTGGGGAGGGGAGGGACTTCAATGAGGTACAATGTCATAGGGTCCTCCTTCCAAAGCAGCCATTTTCTCCAGGTGAACTGATCTCTGTGGTCTGAAGATAAGCTGTAATTCCAGGGGATCCCCAGCCACCACCTGGAGGTTGGCAGCCCTACATGGAGCTCTAAGACCAGTCACAAAATGTTGGTATGCCGCAAGAGAATCATTCTCCTACGAAAGCAGCAGCTGCATCTGAATGTGTGCTCCCCTGTAGACACAAAACTGTTGCTTCCTGGGATCGGTCCATGCACCTCTTGTGCCAGTGAAGTGGATGGATGCTAGGGTTGCCAACCTCCAGGTGGTGGCTGGGGATCTCTAGCTATTATCATTGGTTTCCAGGTGACAGAGATCAGTTCATCTGGAGAAAATGTCTGCTTTGGGAGGTAGACTCTTTGGCATGATATCCCATTGAAATCTCTCCTCTCCCCAAACCCCATCCTCCTTAGCCCCCCCCCCAAAAAAAATCTCCATGTATTTCCCAACCAGGAGCTGGGAACCCTAATGAAAGCCAGGGTTGGGTATTTGCTCATAGGCACTACACTGGGGATCAGCAATACAGACATGTGCCTGGGGCACAGAGCATATGGACCTCAACTACCTTGTGAACAAACTCCTGCTTGACTAGTATTCAATAGGCTCTCAGCCCAGTTTAGAAGACACACGTTGCATTTATTGAATTCATGTACAGAGATGTTCTCCTGCCAACCTAGCAGTTCGAAAGCAAGAAATTGGAAGTAGATAAATAGGTACCACTTCGGTGGGAAGGTAACAGCGTTCCGTGCGCCTCGGTGTTTAGTCATGACCACATGACCACGGAAACGTCTTCGGACAACACTGGCTCTTCGGCTTTGAAACGGAGATGAGCACCGCAACCCTAGAGTCGGACTCGACTGGCTTTCGAGCAAGGGAACCTTTACCTTTACTTACAGAAATGTTACATTCACAAACACACACCCCTTATTTCCAAACATTCAGCTGAATCCATGCACAGATTCTATACACAGATACTTTTCATACATAAGCTTTGTTTGCATGCTCTTGTTCCTGGATTGGGCAAGGGATTTATTTAGCTATTTAAAGTATTCGTTGCTACTTTTTCTCTTAACATGGGGTTAAAAGCCAGATCCCCCCCAAAAAACCCTCCAAAATAAAAAACCCTATAAATTCTTGTATAACAGAACTTTCCAATATAACACCATATCAAGAGACTATCCAATGAACCATCAGAAACAAAAGACATCAAAGCAGATGCCAAGCCTAACAGGATGTGGCCAGCCAATATGCCACAAAGGGGAGGATAAGGTAAAAAATAACGAGCCATGATACAAAATCTTGACATACCAGATTACATAAAGGTATGGCTGTCAGCTCTAGGTTGGGAAATTTCTGGAGAGTTGGGGGTGGACCCTTGCAGGATAGGGTTTGGGGAAGGGACTTCAGCAACATATAATGCAATAGAATCTACCCTCCAAAGCAGCCATTTTCTTCAGGGGAACTGATTTATGTCACCTGAAGATCAGTTGTGATTCTGGGACATCTCCAAACCTCTCCTGAAGGTTGGTAACCACACACTAAGGATGCCGACCTTCATTTGGGAGACCTGGGGATTCCTCAGAATTATAGCTCAGCTCCAGACTACAGAGATACGTTCCCCAGGAGAAAATGGATGCTTTGGAGGGTGGACTCTATGGCATTGTACCCCATTGAGTTCCCTGTCCTCCCCAGTCTTCATCCCCTAATCTTCAGGAGTTTCCCATCCTGGATCTGGCAACCCTACCACACACAAAAGACAAAGCCTGCACATGGGCAGTTTGTAAACACACAGGCTCTGCTGAACAGTTGCCAGACGAACTAGATGGTCTGATCCTGCCCTTCCTACATGCATTCATTGAATATATTTCTACCGAAGAGGACTTCATGTCTCAGCTGCATGGTAATCCCTTTGCAGGCATTCTGCAGGTTAGGGGATATAAAGGAAGAAGTGCTTTGAGTAGTGTATTAAAGGAGTGAGTGAGAGTCTTGTGCCTTTTCCTGCAACTTCTCACCCTGCCTGCCCCCATCTTTGGATTGGTAAAAAGGTGACGTATGGGATGCAGTGTGGCTGCAGAGGACTAGGCTGACCTAAAGTGCTGAGGCTAGATATAGACCTGGATGTAGGGTTGCCAGCTCCAAATTGGGGAATTCCTGGAGATTTGGGGGTGGAGTCTGGGGAGAGTGGTATTTGGGGATAGGAGGGTCCTCAGTGGGGATTAAAGCCATAGAGTCAACCCTCCAAAGTAGCCATTTTCTCCAGGGGGACTCATCTCTGTCATCTGGAGAGCAGTTGTAATTCTGGGAAATCTCCAGGACCCACCTGGAATTTGGCAAGCCTGTCTTGTAGGAGGGGAGTAGAACTATGGGCTCTGGGCTGTGTGCAGGATCCAAACAAGTCTGGCCTGGCCTTGTGCAAGAGCCCCCTTTCCCTCTTACCGATTCTTCTCCCAAAGCATTTAGTTTCCCCTCACTCTGTCTTTCTTTCTGCAGTGTGCTTAAATCCTCCTGGGACGGCCTTTATCCTAAAATTACAGCTTAAGAGAAATAAATTGCATTCAGATGAGGACCACTCTACAGCGCCGCGATGCTTTGTTGTTTAATTGCACTGCAGTATCAGAGGGGACTACAAAGCCCCGAGCGCCAAATAAAGTAGCGCCTTGTATGCCTCACATTAAACAGGAGAGAGGAAGGGGAGTGTGTGGATAATTTACATGAAAGTAGGAACTGTAAACAATATTGAAATGATTCGTCACGTCTGGTCTTGATCTAATGCTCTTGTGTGTGTCATTTCTGGTCCAGTTGCATTGAGTGGTGTTTTTTCCATGGGTTGTTTTGCCATTAGTTTGCATGGGGTGGGGGTGGGGGATGAAAGGAGATTTTTAATCTCAACCATAAACTGACAAATCTCCAGTTTGGTTATATAACTATTTAGAGTCCACAGTCCTTTTCATGTTTCAGTCTGAGGAAAGAATAATAACCTTGACAAGCAGCTTAGTGGGTATGTGCATCTTTTTCGGTGGCTACCTCACAGCTATGGGTTTTCCCATAAAGTTTTGTTGTTGTTGTTCAGTCGCACAGTCGAGTCCGACTCTTCGCGACCCCATGGACTAGATCATGCCAGGCCTTCCTGTCTTCCGCCGTCCTCTGAAGTTTGCTCAATTTCATGTTCGTTGCATCTATGACACTGTCTAACCATCTCATCCTTTGCCTTCCCCGTCTTCTTTGATTTTCAGTCTTTCCCAGCATCTGAGGGACTCTCAAGAGTCTTCTCCAGCACCATAGTTCAAAAGAATCTATTCTTCGGCACTTGGCCTTCATAAAGTTTTACCAAATGAGAATTTGACTATCTTTCAGAACCAATCTAAGGCTCAGAGCACAGACTGTAGTCATGGAGGTGCAGCTGGGACCAACCTTTTCGGGCCAAATTGGTCTCCCTCCTAGGGCTAGTTCACAGTTGACTGAGATTCCCTGCATGATGATTAGGGCAGAATTTGCCCTCATTTCTAACTAGGCTTGCCAAGTCCCCCTGGGGGGCGGGGAAACCCCCGCCCCAGAGGCCCGTTCTCCGCCGGCGGCGGATCGGGCCCCAGGGAGAACCCCACCCTGACGTGCGCGTCACCAGGAAGTGACTTTAGGATGCCGGGCACGCTGGGGGCGGGGCCGTGACCATCGGAGAGAAAACTAGGCTGAGACTATGTTTTCCCCTCCGATGGTCATGGTCCCGCCCCCAGTGTGCCCGGCGTCGTAACGTCACTTTCGGATGATGAGCGTGTGGCGTGCGAGCACTTCGCGTGCGCGCGCTCCAGTCGCCGCCCAGGAGTTCCCCACTGCGACTGAGAAACGACTTGGCAACCCTATTTCTAACTTGGGTAGCAGCCGGAGGAAGGGAGATGGATGGAAGGTCTTTGTGTTCATACAAATGAGGAGGAGGCTATAATGACATAAGCAGTGCATGCATGCCATGAGAATTGCTTCTGTACTGGTGCACTGGGAACATGAGTACCCCACATGCCTCTAACCACCTTCCCCTCACCCACCTTTCAGAGATGGCATTCAGTAGTACTGGACCTCCGAAAAGTGGGGATTTAATATCCTGCCGAGCACCAGTGCTTGGCCATGTCTGTGCTGCCATTTTCAGTGCACGTAAAGTTCCTGGGAAGCCTGGACTCTCCAGTGCTTTTCACACAAAATATCCAAGAAAATGGAATACATTTATGGGGGAAGCAGCACACCACTTGCCCGCTCCATCCCTGATTCATGTGCTGTCACACAACAGTGAAAAGGTCCTATGTACATAGAAGCATGCATGTACAGGACTCTCTCCCTGCTTTTTTGGGTGCATTGGTGTCATGGAAAGATGCTTATGTGCATATATTTGCATATTGGTGGAATTTTTACACACCTTCCGGGGAATGTGCATACCAGTGTGCTGCCAGTCTCCTCCCCAATACATGCTCAGTCTCCATGGATATAATGTGCAAAAAGGAATTCTCTCTTGCTGATTTTAACTTTCTCCAGTGTGAAATGACATTTCCTACTTCTTCCAACTCTTCTCTGCATTGCCAGCGAAGGGAAGGCAAGGGACACTTGGTTTGTCAATCACTGGAGGACTAACTCACTGATGAGTCTCATCTGAGAGCGCATAGAATCCTGGCATTGGCCCTGTTGAACATTCCTTTATGTGGAGATTATAGATATATAGATATAGATAGAGATAGATGTATATAGATACAGAATTTTATATTCTGCTGTTACCTTCCTAAGCTTTGGAGGGGGGCAGCTCAGAAAACCACATTAAAATAAACGACAGGAAATGAAATTTATGAGACTTATCAAAATCATTCTTCAGAAAAGGATGTGCAATTTAAGACAGCACCCCGAGAGACCTATTTTAAAGAAATCAGCTGTCTATTTAAAGAACCCTTTCCTCCCTTGCCTTCCTGCTTCCCCCCCCCTCTCTCCCCCCTCACCTGCCTGCCACCCTGAGCACTGGTCTATTGATCTCAGCTGCCTTCAACTTGGTGTCTGACGGTGCCTTAAGCCCCTGCTCTTTTCTCCAGGCCCACGAAGGTGGCCTAAGGATTAATTAGAAAAGGTCAATGCTATAGAAACCAAAGCAGTCCCAGTTCGCCCCCTCCTCTAATTCAAAATCATGTTTAAAGCTCCATAGATCAAGGAGGACTGGTGCAGAGAGACAGAAAATTGCACCATTATTGGGGGGAGGGGGAGGCTGCCACTAGGCTGAGGCTAAAATGAGGGGGTGGGGAATGGTGGGGTATCAGTCGTATTTCGACAAAGAGCCTGCAGCTTTGGAAATCCCTCGTATTATCCCAGCAGTGCCACAAACCCTATTAAACTGCTGGAAAAGACTCTTTGATTTGGAAAAATCGAGGGGGTGTCGCCTGTCCATTTTTTATTATTTCCCTGAAGAATCGCCCTCCCTCTGTTTTAATGTCAAGGCAATAAAGCAGAACATGTCAAAGGAGTCCCTTCTGGTCCGAAGTTGAGCCAGAGTGACGGTGCTATAACTGTATTTAGATAGAGGCAGATTGGCTGTTCCTGCT